CGGAAGCTTTCCGGCCAGATCACAGCAGACGAAGCGACCCATGAATGGAGTGCGCTTGATGACGAGGCCGCTGAAGCTGAGAAGATGGACCCCGTGGCGAGGAAGCACCTGTGCGCCTGCTGCTACCTCAAAGGGAAGCAGGAGTGCATGCTCGACGCTCGCGACTTCGGCATGAAAGCAGCCGCCGACTTCCACGAGAAGTACGTGTCGCAGGGGAGGTGGATGAGATGTATGGACTGCGCGCGCGAGATCGGCCCAACGCCTTGTCGGTCTGCGCGGGCGGCCGAGGCTTCCCAAGGGATGGCCGTTGGAAACGCTCCAAGGAGAATCCCGCCAGACCCTTCAATATGCAAGCGGCGTGTGGAACGTGATGACTGGAAGAGGAGCCTGACCCCGCAGAGCCACGGGTGCTCTGCTTGCAAAGAAGTCTTTGAGGAAGGCGTGTGGGGCGCGAACATTATGAAGCACCATAGGCTTTCCGATCGAGACCTCGCGTGCCCGGGCTGCGCAGAGCGAGGGTTCGCGCCCGGCAAGTTCGACGAGCACAAGTGCGAATATTGCTTGGAGCACTTGGGCAGCCTCGCGTTCGAGAAGCACGTGCTGTACCACGCGAAGACGCGGGAGAAGGCCCGCTTGGTGTGCCTGGACTGTCAGACGAAGCTGCGGTGCGGGAAATGTGCAACGGCGTATGAGCTGAAGTACTGGTCGAAGTCTGAACGCAAGAATCATGAGTCTTCTCAGGGCGCAACTCTGGTCTGCAAAGCATGCCGCGCGCTAGGATTCGACCCGTGTGACCTGGAGACGTACACGTGCCAGAGGTGCACTTGCAGGCAGGTTCGGGGCCCGTAAGTTCAACCAAAAACTACTGGATCACCACAAGAATAGCAATCGCATGAAGCTAGAGCGCAAGGAGTGCGTCGCTGACATGGAAGAACGAGTGCGCCACCTGCGCAAAGCTTTGCAGAAGAGCAAGCGAAAGTGCAAGTGCCATTGCCGCATGCACCGGGCCAAATGCCCGCTGACCCCGTCTTTTTCGGAGAGAAACGCTGGCCGGGTAGCGACGGAGCGATATCCGCCGACGACCGGAAGTTCTTGGACGAGTTGCAACCGATTCCCGAATGGTGGAGCAAAGCCTGGGGGCGATGAGGTACCGCGCGGAGCCCGTCGACGCAGATTTTTTACTGGCGACATTATCTCTGGGTATAGTGAGGCTGGAAACGAGATGTTGCCTCAATGGGTTCGGGGGTTCCTGTATACACGGCTACGGCTTCGGTATCTATCCAATGGGGGATATGCCTCTAGTGATTTTCAGTGGCGCTTCAGGTGGGCCTTATATTCCACTCTGGCTGGAGCCCGTACTTTGGTTCTCTGGTGCCGGTTACTGAGTACTCTGTGATGGTGCTGGTTACCCTACTCAGTGATGGTTCATTGGTGAGATTACATGTGGATACACCGCAATCACCCGTTGTTGACTTCCGCAAACTGACTGAGGAGACGTGGCTCTGTGTTGGTGCATTGGGTGACGTGTTTAAGTCCGATGTCGAGGCGCTTGGGCGCACTGGAATAGCCGAAAGGGCCACCCAGTCCGACCAGGTAGGCATCCAGTTAGTATCTCTCCAAGAACTTTATGAAGCAGAGGTGAAGCTCTTGCTCGGCGGGGGCGTTTAGATTCCCAGTCTGTCTGCTACGGAAGTTGCCGAAGCAGAGAGCGTCTTCAGTGCGTAGCAGTGATAATCGGTGGAGGACGCCGACGGCGACGACGTGGAAAACGTCGAAGGCGACGACGACGACCACGACCACGACGACGACGACGACGATGACCGCTCGACCACGACGACGACGACGACGACGATGACGACGACGACGACGACGCCGACGCGGAGGACGACGACGACGACGACGACGACCCGACGACGACGTCGTCGAGACAACGACGACGACGACGACAACGAGAACGTGAATGGCGACGCCGACGACGCCGACGCAACGGCGACGACAGGGGGGGCACTCTTCGGAGCCTCTTCACTCTGGAGAGCGAGCGAAACGATCGCGCCCATCCGGGTTTTGCCTCGATGTTGCAGCGTTGCTGAATTAGGTTACATCGGCCATCACGCTTACGGGCTCGCCACTGTTTGTTGTGATCCATGTTTCACTCCTTGCCCCATTGGCCCCGCCCTCGTGGCAGCAGCGTTGTTGCGGCTAACGCCCGAGGGCACGCAGGCGCGGCGGCCGCCGCGGGGTGCCCCAGACACGCGCCACTGTCGAGCTTTTATTTGCACGATCTCTCCCCCTTCACGATCTCGCCTGCTTGCGAAATTAGGGCACCCAACTCCCTCAAACACACGCGCGCACACACATGCAAAACACACGCAAAACACACGCATATACACAACAACAAAAGACACATAAACACACGCACAGAATTTGAACCTTTCCCCTCGCTGCCAAGGGGGTGAGGGGGCAAGCGATTTTTTCTTTGGAGGTCGATCGGGCCCTGGCCAGGCCTGGAAGTCGAACCTCCGATGCTTCGTGTGCCGCGCTGGTGCGCAGTAGGAGTGTCGTGCGTTACGCAACGTGCTGGCTGAACTGCACCCGCCCTTGCTCACAAAAGAAAAGGACAAACAACCAAAGCAGGAAGAAGGCCCCCCCAACTCTTGCAGGCTGAAAGTGCCACGACAGGGCATCCAAGGATCGAAGAGCTCCAGGCTATCTACGTGGCCTTCGGCCTTTCCCGCCACAGGCTATCTACTGGCCTTCGGCCTATCCCGCCACAGGATATCTAGTGGTCTGTGGTCTATCCCGCCACCGTGCTGCAAGGATCCAATATCTTCAGGCTACAGTACTATAGAAGGCTGCCATGATGAAGTTTGAGACTTTGTCAAGGCTTACAACGGGTTGTATAAGTGTTGAAAGGCTGTCAATGGATAATATAGACTGCTGGCAATTTTGCAGTCGCAGATGTAGTAAATTGAGTGTTATCAGTATTGTTTTGCTTTATGTTGAATCCTTTGCGTTCCTGTGACTATCTTTGTGCCAGCGCCATCATACCGCGACGACGACGACGACGACGACGACACGGACGATGACGTCGATGTCGACGACGACGACGACGACGGGTTCAATTCCCAGTCAGCACGTGACGCTCTGCCTTCTTCAATATCATTTCGACGTTGCTCTGCGCTGTGTGTAGGCATGTCGGGAAGAACTGGAAAAGTTCGAACTGCAGAGGGATCGCAAGACAGAGATAATGCAAGAGTTCGGTTCTCTGTGCGTTGCAGATATGTGAGTCGCTCCGGCTCCTCGTGGAGCGAGTCGTTGGGGCCCCTCGTCCTTCCTGGTGTGAGTCCTTCGGGCCCCTCCTTGTGTGTGAGTCGTTCGGGCTCCTCGTGGTGTGAGTCGTTCGGGCCCCTCGTCCTGGTGTGAGTCGCTCGGGCCCCTCCTTGTGTGTGAGTCGTTCGGGCTCCTCGGGGGGTGAGTCGTTCGGGCCCCTCGTCCTGGTGTGAGTCGTTCGGGCGCCTCCTTGCGTGTGGGTCGTTCGGGCTCCTCGTGGTGTGAGTCGTTCGGGCCGCTCGTCCTGGTGTGAGTCGTTCGGGCCCCTCCTTGTGTGTGGGTCGTTCGGGCTCCTCGTGGTGTGAGTCGTTGGGGCCCCTCGTCCTGGTGTGAGTCGTTTGGGGTATCTAGTCATAGTAGCAGGATATCTTGAGCCAGAAAGCACCGCTGCGCTCCCAACGCGCCGACCATTGCTTCTAGACGGCTCACGTGGCCTCCAAGACGCCCCAAGAGAGCTTCCAGCTGATCCCCGAGAGGCCCCCGGGGCGACAATTATTGATTTCCCGATGGTCTTTCATGGATTTTCCTGTGGTCGCCTGCTCCGCTGCCCGACGCCCGGAGACGGCGCAAGAGGCGCCCAAGAGGACCCCAAGACACCCCAAGAGGGCGCCACGACGGCCCAAGAGGCACCCAAAATCGCCCCAGAGGGCTCGGGGCAACGCCTCACATGAGTTCGGACACGCCACGAGGTCTCTAAACGAGGCCCTCGGCTCCAAAACAGCCCCAGCACGCCCATCATTGCTCCGATGCGGGCTCAGGTAGCCTCCGAGGCGCACCAAGAGGGCTTCAAGCTCACCTTCCGTAGCCATTCTGGCTCAAATCATTTTGTCTCAAGGCCCGAGGCTCGCGCTCCCACCCGACAGGCGCCCGCTGCATCTCGATTGTTCGCCCGTCATGCGCGCGGACAGGAGCCCGTTTCTGCCGCTCCAGCTCCCCCTCGACAGCGACTGCGAGCCAGGAGCGATCGCCCCGCGTGCGCTGCGCGCGCCGCGCGAGCAGCGCACTCTTGCCGGGGCGGCGGCGCTGTCGGCGGCCGCGGCGGCGCTGGCTTTGCTGGTTGTGGCTTGGCGCGCGGGGCCCTCCACGGGGACCGCGACGCTTGCCTCCCCCGAGGCTATCATTGTCGAGGCCGCCGGCAATGTGAGTGGCGCTGATCCCAACGAGACCGACAAGTGCTCACAGACTGGGGCGTCTTGCGATCTTTCCAAGTGCTGTTCTGAGCCCGGCGCGAAGTGCTACAAGAAGGATGATGGTTGGAGCTCGTGCAACCAAACTTGCAACCCATACTACATGTGGACGGTGGATGATGGATGGGTCAAGACGAACGAGACAGTTTGGGATTGCGAGGAGATTCGGCTCCCGTGCACGGAAAATGGGGCGTCTTGCGCACTTTCCAAGTGCTGCTCTGACCCGTACGCGAAGTGCTACAAGAAGAACGCCGGCTGGAGCTCGTGCAACCAAACTTGCGACCCAAACTCCAAGTGGATGGATGACCGCTGGGTCAAGACCAACGAAACAGTTTGGGATTGTGAGGTCATCAGTGTTGGTAGTACCGACGTTTCGACTGACTCCGATGCCGGCAATGTCGCTGCTACGCGTGCTCGCAGAGCAGGGCAGTCTTGCGACAGACCCATGTGTTGCTCTGAGCCTGGCGCGAGGTGCTACAAGAAGGATGATGGTTGGAGCTCGTGCAACCAAACTTGCGACCCAAACAGTAAGTGGACGGTGGATAATGGATGGGTCAAGACGAACGAGACAGTTTGGGATTGCGAGGAGATTCGGCACCCGTGCACGCACAACGGGGCGTCTTGCGCACTTTCCAAGTGCTGTTCTGAGCCCGGCGCGAAATGCTACAAGAAGAACGACGCATGAAGCTTTGGATCGGCAAAACTTGCAGGGGGGGACCACAAACTCCATGTGGATGTATGACCGCTGGGTCAAGACGGACAACTCAGTTTGGGATTGCAAGGACCTCACCGTGACTCCTGTGGAATCAGCGGATCCCATCAAAGATGCAGAAGCCGAGGACGAAACCGGCACGTGTTCGCAGAATGGGGCGTCTTGCACACATTCCAAGTGCTGTTCTGAGCCAGGCTCGAAGTGCTACAAGAAGGATGATGGTTGGAGCTCGTGCAACCAAACTTGCGACCCAAACAGTAAGTGGACGGTGGATTATGGATGGGTCAAGACGAACGAGACAGTTTGGGATTGCGAGGAGATTCGGCTCCCGTGCACGGAAAACGGGGCGTCTTGCGCACTTTCCAAGTGCTGCTCTGACCCGTACGCGAAGTGCTACAAGAAGAGCGCTGGCTGGAGCTCGTGCAACCAAACTTGCGACCCAAACTCCAAGTGGATGGATGACCGCTGGGTCAAGACCAACGAAACAGTTTGGGATTGCGAGGTCATCAGTGTTGATAGTACCGACGTTTCGACTGACTCCGATGCCGGCAATGTCGCTGCTACCGCGTGCTCGCAGACAGGGCAGTCTTGCGAACAGACCATGTGTTGCTCTGAGCCTGGCGCGAAGTGCTACAAGAAGAATGATGGTTGGAGCTCGTGCAACCAAACTTGCGACCCAAACAGTAAGTGGACGGTGGATGATGGATGGGTCAAGACGAACGAGACAGTTTGGGATTGCGAGGAGATTCGGCCCCCGTGCACGCACAACGGGGCGTCTTGCGCACTTTCCAAGTGCTGTTCTGAGCCCGGCGCGAAATGCTACAAGAAGGATGATTGGTGGAGCTCGTGCAACCAAACTTGCGACCCAAACTCCATGTGGATGATGGACCGCTGGGTCAAGACTGACAACTCAGTTTGGGATTGCAAGGACCTCACCGTGACTCCTGTCGAATCAGCGGATCCCATCAAAGATGCAGAAGCCGAGGACGAGAACGGCACGTGCTCGCAGAATGGGGCGTCTTGCACAAATTCCAAGTGCTGTTCTGAGCCAGGCTCGAAGTGCTACAAGAAGGATGATGATTGGAGCTCGTGCAACCAAACTTGCAACCCATACTACGTGTGGACGGATGATAATGGATGGGTCAAGACGAACGAGACAGTTTGGGACTGCGAGGAGATTCGGCTCCCGTGCACGGAAAACGGGGCGTCTTGCGCACTTTCCAAGTGCTGCTCTGACCCGTACGCGAAGTGCTACAAGAAGAGCGCTGGCTGGAGCTCGTGCAACCGAACTTGCGACCCAAACTCCAAGTGGATGGATGACCGCTGGGTCAAGACCAACGAAACAGTTTGGGATTGTGAGGTCATCAGTGTTGATAGTACCGATGTTTCGACTGACTCCGATGCCGGCAATGTCGCTGCTACCGATGTTCCAGCAGACTCCGCGAGCAGCTCCGATGCTTCGACAGCCTCCGCGTGCTCGCAGACAGGGCAATCTTGCGAACAGACCATGTGTTGCTCTGAGCCTGATGCGAAGTGCTACAAGAAGAATGATTGGTGGAGCTCGTGCAACCAAACTTGCGACCCAAACAGTATGTGGACGGAGGATAATGGATGGGTCAAGACGGACAAGAAAGTTTGGGATTGCGAGGAGATTCGGCCCCCGTGCACGGAAAACGGGGCGTCTTGCGCACTTTCCAAGTGCTGCTCTGACCCGTACGCGAAGTGCTACAAGAAGAACGCCGGCTGGAGCTCGTGCAACCGAACTTGCGACCCAAACTCCATGTGGATGGAGGACCGCTGGGTCAAGACGGACAACTCAGTTTGGGATTGTGAGGTCATCAGTATCGAAGAAGCCCCGAAAAGTGTCTGGGACGTTCTCGTTAGAATCTGGAACATATGGAGGTAGCAGTCGTCACTTCCGCAACGGTAGGTTCGTAGCATCAGCACGGGCTTCGTGCTGCGACGGTCAGAGCCTGACTTTAACTGGCCTCTCTTTTGCATCCTGCTGGAGACCCTGGCAGCAGATCGAGGCGCCTGGCTCCTGATTGCCTTTGCCCACTCTCGTCTCCGCTCTCCTTCTTCTTGTCCTTCCTTCTCATCTTCTTCACCGTCATCGTTTGTCAAAGACCATTGCGCCTTCACCTTTCCTCTTGCCTCTCTCAGTCCAAGACGGCCTCAGGGGCCCTCGTAGGCAGGCTGTACCGATCCAGCCTGTCGCAGAGTTTCCCGTCGGGTTGCGATGTTGCGCGACCCGCAGGCAGCGCGCACGAGCAGGCTCTAATTCTTCACGCTTCGCGTATCCCCACCAGCCCATCTCAAAACAGCAACTCTTGCGAAGCATGCCGACAGTCGTGTTTTTCAGGCGTCTTTCCGCCTGCCCCCGCATATCTCCGGGCCTCTCGTCCTGGTGTGAGTCGTTCGGGCCCTTCTTCCTGGTGTGAGTCGTTCGGGCTCTTCGTCGTGGTTTGAGTCGTTCGGGCTCTTCGTCCTGGCGTGAGTCGTTCGGGCTTCTCGTGGTGTGAGTTGTTCGGGCCCTTCGTCCTGGTGTGAGTCGTTCGGGCTCCTCCTCCTGGTGTGAGTCGTTCGTGCTCCTCGTGGTGTGAGTCGTTCGGGGCCCTCGTCCTGGTGTGAGTCGTTCGGGCTCCTCGTGGTGAGTCGTTCGGGCGCCTCGTCCTGGTGTGAGTCGTTCGGGCCCCTCCTTGTGGTGTGAGTCGTTCGGGCTCTTCGTGGTGTGAGTCGTTCGGGCCCCTCGTCCTGGTGTGAGTCGTTCGGGCTCCTCGTGGGGCCTCTTGGGGGACTCTTGGAGCCTCTTGGGGCCTCTTGGGGGCCTCTTGGGGGCCTCTTGGGGGCCTCTTGGGGGCCTCTTGGGGCCTCTTGGGGCCTCATGGGGGCCTCTTGGGGGCCTCTTGGGGGCCTCTTGGGGCCTCTTGGGGGCCTCTTGGGGGCCTCTTGGAGGCCTCTTGGGAGCCTCCTGGGGGCCTCTTGGGGCCATCTTGGGGCCTCTGGCGACCTCCTCAGAAGCGCAAATGAGCGCTGCCCCCCGAGAAGGACAACATGAGCCCAAAACCTTCGTGAAATCATTGATTTTGCTATGAAGGACGATGAGCGCTGCCCCCTCAGAAGCCCAAAATGGGCCCAAAACCCTAGTAACATCAATTTGGCTTCACAGAAGAGGAGAGGGTTTTTTCTCAGCCCCCCCCGTCGGGGCCAGAATCCTCGTGAGGGTCGTCGTTTTTTAGCCCTCCCAGGAGTCGAAAAAGACCCCTCTGACCACCCGCCGGACTCCCTCTCCAGGCCCAGGGGGAGGGGGTAGGGGGAGGGGTAAACCCCTCCCCGAAGGGGAAGAAGGGGGGTTGAGGACAGAGCGGGCTCTCTAAACCACTCACGCCCAAAGGGCTGGTGGGACTTTGCCATGGCAATGCGGCCTGCTATGCCCCGCGACCTGGGTGGGAACAGCGTCTGCTGCAAGGTGCCCCTGAGCGTGGAGCTGTACAGCACTGCAAGTCCACATGATCGATTTGCCCATCGGGAGTTGCGAAAGCCAAACTGCACGCACGTGTGGTTGGGCAAGGTGGTCTGAACCATCTCCTCATTCAGCAACAAAATGTCGGTGGTCGGGGTGAAGGTCGATAACTCTTCCAATCGCGTGTAATCCGCCCACTCCACATTTTGAGCGACGATTCGTAGTACCATCAACAAGATTCCTGCGTTTGGAGGCAAGGGAGGAAGAGGAGGAGGAGGAGGAGGAGGAGGAGGAAAAGGAGGAGTAGGATAAGGACGAGGACCAGGACAAGGACGAGGAGTAGGAGGAGGAGAAGGAGGAAGGGGAGGATGAGGGGAGGAGGAGGAGGAGGAGGAGGAGGAGGAGCGAGGAGAGGAGGAGGAGGAGGAGGTGGAGGAGGAGGAGTAGGAGGAGGAGGAAAAGAAGAGGAGGACCTATATATATATATATATATATATATATATACATAGGGTGGGGGAGCTGGTTCTATAGGCTTACGCCACATCCGCCGACCCCTCATCTTGGCGGTCTTGCCGGCTCGCTTGAATCGGGCTGGGGAGTCGCGTAGGGGACCGTAATGACCTCTCCTGGGGCTACGTGGAATCCGCTTGGGGTCATCTCGAGGCCCCGGGGGGCCCATCGGAAAAGAAAGGACGCTAATGCAATCTTGGCATCGTTCTGGAGATGCCCAAAGGGTGGAAGCGTTGGATTGGGGCCCGTATATTTCTTGCTGGGGGCCGTTTTGAGGCCGTTTTGGGGCCTCTTGGGGGCCTCTTGGGGCCTATCGTGGGCGTCTTGGGGGCCTCTTGGGGCCTCTTGGGGCCTTCTGGGGCCGTCTTGGGGCGGAAGGCTCGGATTGTCGGTTCGGGCCCCCCCTCTTGGGCACCTCTTGGGGCCGTCTTGGGGCCCTCTTGGGCTGTCTTGGGGGCCTCTTGGGCCGTCTTGGCGCCCTCTTTGGCCGACTTGGGCGCCTCTTGGGGGCCTATTGGGGCGGTCTTGGGGTGCTCTGGGACCGTCTTCAACGCCGTCAAGGCCGACAAGTAGTATATAATCTAAATGTACGTTTTCCCTTGGGAATTTGACGATTTTCGGCGCTTCGGCCGTTCTGAGGACTGCTCTTGGAGGCCTCTTTGGCCGTCTTGGAGGCCTCTAGGCTCGTCTTGGGGCCATCTTGGGCGTCTGGGGGCGCTCGTTTGGCGCCTCGGAGCTCTCGCGGGCCGTCTTGGAGGAGTCTCGGGGCCTTCTTGGCCCGTCTTGATCCCCTTTTGGGCCCAAAAGAGCCCCGTGACGCGCTCGTCGTGGGCCCGGGGGTGGGGGTCGAATCTCCGGTTTGGGGTCCCAGGGGGGGGTTAGGGGGGGAACTATCTCACACGCCTAGAGACCCACAAGGGGTCGGCGGATGACGGGAAGCGTCTTCGAGGTACGAGAAGCAAGCGGGACGTTCTGGCTGAATCCTTGAGTAAATAAATATATATCTTTATATCTATGGGTTGCGGGGCTGCACGGGGTTTTTCATTGGCGGATTCCCCAAAATGGCCATTTCGCTCGAGACATCCTCGAAAAGATGACGGGAAGCGTCTTCGAGGTACGAGAAGCAAGCGGGACGTTCTGGCTGAATCCTTGAGTAAATATATATATATATATATATATATCTTTATATCTATGGGTTGCGCGGGCGCACGGGATTTTTCATTGGCGGATTCCCCAAAATGGCCATTTCGCTCGAGACATCCTCGAAAAATCGAGGTGTTGGAGGCTATCGTTTAAGACGTCTTATGTTAAAAATGACGGTTTCGCTCGAGACATCCTCAAAAATCGGGATGTTGAGAAATATCAAAAATGACGGGAAGCGTCTTCGAGGTACGAGAAGCAAGCGGGACGTTCTGGCTGAATCCTTGAGTAAATATATATATCTTTATATCTATGGGTTGCGGGGCTGCACGGGGTTTTTCATTGGCGGATGACGGGAAGTGTCTTCGAGGTACGAGAAGCAAGCGGGACGTTCTGGCTGAATCCTTGAGTAAATATATACATATCTTTATATCTATGGGTTGCGGGGCTGCACGGGGTTTTTCATTGGCGGATTCCCCAAAATGGCCATTTCGCTCGAGACATCCTCGAAAAATCGAGGTGTTGGAGGCTATCGTTTAAGACGTCTTATGTCAAAAATGACGGTTTCGCTCGAGACATCCTCAAAAAATCGGGATGTTGAAAAATATCAAAAAATTTTGTTATGCATAAAAAATGAGCGTTTCGCTCGAGACATCCTCGAACAAATGAGATGCCGACAGAGGTGTTTTAGAACCTCTTATGTCAAAAATGACGTTTTCGCTCGGGACGTCCTCAGAACATGAGCAGGTGGTCTGCCGTGCTCCCGTGTGGAGCACGGCAGACCACGGCCATTTCGCTCGAGACATCCTCAAAAAATCGAGGTGTGGTCTGCCGTGCTCCTGTGTGGTCTGCCTTGCTCCTGTGGTCTGCCTTGCGCGTAGGAACCGAGAGGAGCACGGCAGACCAAGACCGTGTTGCTGGTTTGCCCCCCCCAGGATAACTTCTTGACGTGTTGCTGGTTTGCCCCCCAGGATAACTTCTTGACGTGTTGCTGGTTTGCCCCCCTCAGCACCTTCTTGACGTGTAGGAGCACGGCAGACCACAGAAGCACGGCAAACCACACAGGAAGCAATACGGCAAGACAACCAGGAGCACGGCAAATCCCCCCAAGGAGCACGGCAACCGCCCAGTGTACACCATAAACGCGCCTTTCTTGTCCCCCAACGCCGCTGGCGTTTTCCCCCACAGAAGCCGGCAGACCCACAGCTGGCGGGAAACCCCCTAATGAGGCACGGGCAGACCACAGGAGCAGGCAGACCACACAGAGCACGGCTAGACGCCACAGGAGCCACGGCGACCGCGCAGACATCAGCAACGGCAGACCACACATGAGCACGGCAGACCCCACAGGAGCACGGCAGACCCCATAGGAGCACGGCAGACCACAGAAGAGCACGGCAGACCAACAGGAGCACGGCAGACCACACAAGAGCACGGGTGTATTTG